GCACATCGAGGTAAATTTTTGCGGCCGGAGCTGGTCGTAACCCGAAAAGTTCGTTAGTAGAGGCGTTCGTATCCCGAGGTACCACTGTACCTTGGCTTATGTGGTTAAACCATTGATGGCTAAATGGGTGAACAGGAAGGCTACAAAGCCTCGTTTCAAAAAGTTTATGAATTTAGAAACATATAAAATCCATTGGCCCCCAGCCTCCTTATTTGTTTTGGGAGACTATTGGCCATATTGGCTTGTTGTTTTGGGATTGATCATCCAAATACATCTGAATGGAGATGGAGTTGAGAAGGCTGCTCTTTGCCTGGCAATTTCCTCCTTTCCTTTTGAGATACAGAGCTGTTGCCCTGCACTGATTACTATGAAAAGCATGATAATTGCAAAGGAGCTTTTATTTCCATCAGAGTAAGTAGATATGGGATAGATTTATTAACCAGTTATCTGTTTATCTGTATGAATAGAGAACAGTTGTTTACCCTTGCTGATTTAAGGTTTGTGTTCACAGTTATGTTTTTTTTTCTTTCCACTATCACCTGTTCTTAAGTTTTAATCCTTTTCAGGGACTGCATGGGTTTGTACTAATTTTTAAGTTATCATTTTTTTCTTGGCTGTGACTCCCACCCACTCCCATTCAGATAAGACGAATAAGTGGTACTGGAAAAGCTGTGGCCCGGGCAGACAAATACCAGCACAAGAGGTGGGTAGGCGGATGTTCACTTTACTTACAGATAACTCTGCCAAGAGTGTTTAATTTTCCTGCTCAAATACTTCAGCTTCATAGAAATGTCCCTTATTTGTATCAAGAGAAATATTTTCAATCTGTCCTCAGTACCACCTAACTTGGTTGCTTTTCCAGCCTTTGTGAAACTAGATAGCCACCTCTAAAGAGAAACTTTTTGACACCTTGCCAGAATTTGCTGATTAGACTGAGTTTAAATAGCTGTGAAGTTTACCTTTCTTAATTAGCATTTCTGTATTCAGCTTCGTTTTAAAAAGAGCCTCTGTTTTACAGTGTAAAACTGTTGGTGTAATGTACCCTATATCTGCCCCTTTAGGCTTTTGACAAATAGCCACAAATTCATTGTAGTTATTTCACAACCTCCATTAGAGCTTAAAGAGCATAGAAGAACTCTGCTGAAACAGACTAAGGGTCTTTAGGATGCTGTGGCAGTAGTTCTGTTTCAGTTTGCCACCCAGCAATTGTCATTAATGTTTTTTTGGGGGGGGGGGTAAGAAGATGGCAGCCCTGTAATTTATTACCTTCAGATTGATTGTATAGTCCTATATATTTTCATACGGGTGATATCCCTAACTTTAGTCTGGGCT